TTTTTTTTTTTTTGATGCTTTCTATATTATTCAATATTTTGTCCATAGAATCTTTCCATATTGCACGTCAAAACTTGAATTTTTTTCTTCAGTTCTGAAATGGGTATTTGAGAAATGATAGGCATGTTCTTCCCTTTTAGTTTTCTAAATCCAGGTCTTTGCACATTTCATTATAATAATTGACTCTGACTTCTCGAGCTGCCATTTGAAATTTTCTGTTCAACTCTTTTAACCTCCTCATATCTTCTATTTGCTTTATCATCTCTATGCTGGAGAGCAATTTTCACAGTCTCTTCTGGCACCCATTTTGGTCTTTTCTTTCTTATCTTCTTAATGACCTTTGGTGTCTTCCTGTATGATGTTCTTGATGTCATCCCACAGCTCTTCTTGTCTTCAGTCATTAATGTCTAACTCATCAAATCTGTTCTTGAGATAATCTCTAAATTCAGGTGGGATATGTTCAAGGTCATATTTTGGTTCTTGTGGACTTGTTTTAATTTTTTTCAGCTTCAAACTGAAATTGTGAGCAAATGATGGTCTGTTCCACAGTCTGCTCCTAGTCTTGTTTGGGCTGATGTGGAGCTTTATCATTGTCTCTTCCCACAGATGTAGTCAATTTGATTTCTGTATATTTCATCTCATGAGGTCTATAACTGTCTTTTATGTTCTTTAAAAAAAGATATCTGCAATGAATAAGTCATTGGTCTTGCAAAATTCTCCCATGCAATCTCCAGCATCATTTCTATCATCAAGGCCATATTTTCCAACTACTGATCCTTCCTCTTTGTTTCCAACCTTTGCATTCCAGTCGCAAGAAAATATCAAAAATTTTAAAAATCAAGTAGCAGCAGAACATTGTTTAAAGCATTTTAGAATCTAATATTTGGTTAATGTTCTTTGTCTTTCTATTTGGAGAACTCTTTAGTCTTGATTAGTATCTTCAGAGCTGGGCTGGTAGTGACAATTTCCCAAAACTTCAGTTGGTTCAGAAATATCTTGATGTTCTCCTCATTTCTGAATGACAAATTTGTTGAATAAAGAATTTTTTGCTTGGCATTTGCTTTCATTCAGTATTTTACAGATTTGTCAGGCCATTTTTTTCTGGCCTTGAGAATTTCTGCAATGATTCCTCTCTTGCTGCATTCAGAATTCTCTCCTGTCTTTGATTTTCAGGAACATTATTAGGATATGGTACGGAATTGATCTTTATGTATTTCTTCCAGTTGGGGTTCGTATCACTTCCTATGTTTGTAGACTTGGGTCTCTGTCTAGGTTCTGGGAAATTTTCTATATAATTAGCTTTTAGAAAGTTCTTTCTATGTCTTTACTGTTGTTTCATGATATTGTAAAATTAAAATAATTTGAATGTTAGATTTTTTAAATTGAATCCCATATTCCCATTTGGCTTTGTTCCCCACTAGGCTGGGTTCTTTAGAGAACCAAAGTCAGTGAACTTATATATATATATAGAGAGAGAGAGATTTCTCTCAAATAAAACAGCTCAGGTGTCTGTAGAGAGTAGCAAGTCCCAAGTCAATGGCTCAGATAACAGGCTGGAGGCTTTTCCTTGCTCACATAGCCACAGTAGCTGAGATGCCAGGCTACCCACTCATAGCCTATGGAGGTTAATGAAGCTCAAAACTGGCAGGCAGTACCTCAGACTAGTTCAAATCCAAAGAACTGGAGATCAGCAGATGATGACTCAGTTGTGGGATCCAGATTGAGCAAAAAGCCAGAAGGCTTTGCTTGCATGTCCTTATATATTGTATACAGGCCACACTCCTGTGGAAACTCCCTTTCAATTGATGCACTGCTCATAGCAGATCTCATCATGAGAATGATTACATCATAGCAGATCATAGCGTAGGGAATGAGCACATCATGATATGATTGTCAAATCACTGACAATATCACCCAGCCAAGTTGGCACACAACCTTAACCATCACACTCACTAAATTAGGTGATCCTTTTCCAAATATATGAGTCTAGATAAATTTTTTTCTAGAAATGGTAGCCACAGAAGGGGTTTATAGCCCAGAGTATATTTATAACAGGAATATGAAGGAAATACACCTGATGGCATTTTTTCTTCAGACTTTTTTTGCACAAGTAGTAGAAATATGGCTCAAATGTATTCTATTTTGTCAACACTCCACATCATGAGTTCTTAAACTCAGGTCTGTAAGAAAGCTTTAGTAGGTGAATCTCCAGACATCTAAACTAAATGAATATATGTGCATCTTTGTGGGGAAAGGAACCATAATTAGATTCTCAAAAAATGCCTTAATCCCAAGTAGGTCAGAGGCACTACCTTATTGCCTGAGGGCACAGCTTTAAACTCAGAGAAGAATTTTTTGCTGGAGGCATGGGTGTTATTACTTTTCAGGCAATTGACTTTCTGATTATCTAATCTAAAATACAGAGAAAAATCTCATAGAATTTAAGAGTGGAAAGTTACGTGTCCACTAAGCATCTCTCTGAAATGTAGACAATGTCATGAGTTCCCTACCTTTCACTGGGCTATATTTCCCAGGCCTTTCACAGGTAATGAACTGGAGTCAGATCACGAGTCATGGTGATTTTTGTGCATTATCTGATGGTGGTTAACGTTAGGAGGCATATGCTTTAAATGCCAAAGATCATTAAAGAGAAGGATAAAAATGAGAGAAAGAGAGAATACTATCTATACATAATATAATCTTACTACCTGAGAAGAAAAGACCCATTCTGATCATTACTACTTTATTTTTCTTTAGCACTCCTTCCTCAATTTGCCAACAGCACTTGCTGATGAGCTCAACTGGCCCCAGCTCTCTGGCACTACTGGATTCCTGGACTCGGGCAGTAGGTATGTGTGTATGTTCACCTTCAAACATTTCAATATGTCTATTTAAGGAAAGAAAAGTAGTTGGGGCTTCTTCCCAACAGGTTGAAATGAGAATTACTCGCAATTGTTTCTAGAAGATGAATCACATACACCAAGTCCCATCACAGATCTAGAATCCACCATATAGTAGATAGTACTTGAAATTGTATTTTATCAAAACCACCAACATGCTGTGGAGGCTCTATTGTTTACTTGTGGTGGAAAGTAAGACCATCACTGATTCAAGGGGCAAAGAAGTTGACTTGACTTTTTCACTCTCTGAAATTACTGTTTATAAAGGTAATGACTAAAATGCTGATGGTCATAAAGGTAACAGAGAACTGGGCAATGTTTTGTTTTGTTAAACATAAAATCAACCATGAGTCAGAGCTGACTCAACAGCAACCAACAAGAAAAACAATGACTAAGCATAATTGGAAGGCTTCAAGTTCCTGCAGTCATCTGGTTTTCATGCTCTGTATTTATACATAAAGACGTGCACTTTGACTTTCAGAGATACAACTCAATTTTCTATGTGTGGTTGGGTGTGGACTTCGAGACTGGGCTATATTTCCCAGGCCTATAACCTGACAGGGCACCTGCAAGTGTCCGCAGCTTGGTAGAAAGGGACTTTTCCAATATTCCCCAATATATATATATATAATTAAGCAAGCAGAAGGAAATATGGTAGATGGATGGCTTCCTTGAATAAAAAAGAAGAGGGAGAGCTTTGCTTTGAGTTCTGGAAAACAGGATGAAAGGAGGATGTTGTTGTTAAGCGCCGTCGAGTCGGTTTCGATCCATAGCGACCCTGAACAGGATTTCCGAGGCTGTAAATCTTTACAGAAGCAGAAAGCCTCATCTTTCTACCGTGGAACAGCTGGTAGTTTCAAACTGCTGACTCAAAGGTTAGCAGCCCAACTCGTAACCACTACGCTACCAGAGCTCCTTAAGATACACCAGGGAAATTGTAGGGAGGGCAGAGTATGCACAGATGTGGTTTACCTGAAGCTGTAAAATACCCGAGAAGGCTCAAGAAACAATTGGTTACAGTATTAGCACCCATTTTAAAATTTTAATGTAAGACATTTCATACCTGAATAATTTATTGAACCATTATCTTTAATCACTCAGTGTGAAGATACAATTTAATACTTACCGCCTACTCTGGCATTGAAACTAAGTCCTGGTGTGGCGCTGTGGGTTAATGCGCCAGACAGCAAAGTCCTTTGAACTGCAAGATCGGCGATTCAAGCTCATCAGCTGCTCCTCAGAAACCCTGTATAGGGTCGCTATGGTTTGGAACCGACTCAATGGCACTTAACAACAATAACTCACTCATTGAGCTAGATGCTATAGGTGTTTTAAGGTAAACAAGTCTTTTCCTGTCTCTAAAGTGGACTGCTATCAAGTGAGGAGGTAAGACGAATGCACCAATAATGGTTCTTGTTGTTGTTTGTTAAGTGCCGTCAAGTCGGTTCTGACCCATAGCGACCCTGTACAGGGTTTCCGAGAAGCAGCAGATGAGCTTGAACCGCCGACCTTGCAGTTCAAATGCCCTTGCAGTCTGGCTCATTAACCCACTGTGCCACAGCAGAACTCCATAAAGGGACGCTTAAATTTACATATGAACTCTATTGGCTCAGCCACCTTTTGACCTGAAACCGTATCCTGTTGTCATAAAAGAAATACCAGTCTGATTGTAAAAGAAATTGCCAAGCAGTTTGAATCTTAACCTGAGTCACTCAAAGAATGCTAAGGAAGGAATTCACTCACCATGCCATGCAAAAGTGGTCAATTCTTTCTTCGCCTGTATTCGCAGCTCACTCTCCCCAGGAACCACCCTACATCTTCTGTAGCTGAACTTGTCCAAAATACTATCCAAATTAACTACTGTTCAGACCCCTGTTCAGCTGTTTTTAGTTTTTGTTGGAACAGGGGGCACAGGAGGGGCCTGTCTCCCTCTTCCTTTCTAAATCTATGCTACCCCCAAACAAAGGGCTGCTCCTTTGCTGTTATTTAGTGCCATCAGGTCTGATTCATGGTGAGCCCTGCAGAGCAGGACTGTTCCAGAGCAGATCTCCAGGGCTATCTTCCAAGATGCTTCTGTGTGGCTTTGAACCACCAACCTTTTGAATAACCAAGCACCATATATATCTCCCTGGGACTCCTTTGGAAGTGGACAGAGATTACTCCCTTATCAATGTAAAATTTCCCAACCCACCAATCCTGCAATAGTTTCCATCCACCTTAATCTCCAGAATCCAGCAGACAAACAGAATTTTTTCCTTACAGGTGTGATGGCTGGTGGTGGTGGTTATATGCCGTGTAGTCAGATCTGACTCATAGCAACCCTGTTCATCTTTATGGGATCAGAAAGCCTCGTTTTTCTCCTATGGAGCAACTGGTAGAGTTGAACTACTGATCTTGAGGATAGCAGCCCAACTTGAACCCATTATGCTACCACAACTCCTTAATATGATGGTTGTCGTTGTTGTTATGTGCCGTAGAGTTGGTTCTGATGCACAGCGGCCCTGTATAGGGTTTCCAAGGAGCAGCTGGTGAGCTTGAACCATCGACTTTACAGTTCAAACGGCTTTGCAGTCTGATGCATTAACCCACAGCGCCACACAGGTGAAAGTAAAAAGAAAAGTCGTAAATCTTCAGGCATGAGTACTTTGCTGTACTCTTGCACATAGTGTAAGGGTTATGTAGAGAGATGATGACACAACGGAAGTGGCTAAGTATGGATTATGTGAAAATATCTCTATTCTGTGGTTGTCTACACTGATTTTGTACCTTCTTGTCCCTGGGTGCTAATCAGCAAATGTGGCTGACTGCTAAACAAAAGGTTGGGGATTAGAATCCACAAAGAGAGGTCTCAGAAGTAAGGCATGGTGATTTACTTCTGGGGGCAAAATTCAGCCATAAAAAATCTTCTAGAGCACAGTTGTATTCTGACACACACGGTATCACCATGAGTTGGAGTCAACTCAACAACAACTGGATTGAGTTTTGTATTACAGTCTGTGTTGCTGTTTATGAAACAACACTTAGTCTTTGTTCGTCCAGATGGCTCAGTGTTGACTCTAGTATTGGACTGATGTGCTATATGAGGGGGCTTCAAAAAGTTCATGAAAAGGGGGAATTAAAAGACAATGGAGTTCTTGCACGAGGTTTTTGAAGTCACCTCACATTTATAAATGTTCCCCTACCTGCAGTGGGTTCTCGCTGCTGCTACCTTATTGTTCCCGTGTGACACTGCAGGATAATGCGCTGGACTGCAAGGTCAGTTTGAACCACAAAGTTGACAGTTCAGATCCACTAGTTGCTCCTTGGAAACCCTACACAGGGTTGCGATGGGTCAGAACTGATTCAACGGCACTTAACAACAACAACCTCATTGTCCTCTATGAATACTCTTTAGGTCAGCTGTTTCTGTGTTCTGTGTCTGTGTTTCTTGCCACTATGCTATAATGAGGAAGATGAGATTCCTTTCCTTTTAATAGAAGAGAAAATTCTGTGGGAATCTGAGCTGCCATGATTTTCCCATCAAGGAGTACCATGGGCAGCATGACAATCCAGTGCTTATCCTTCCTATAATGTGCTAGGCCAATCTTATCAAAAGAATAAAAAGCTATTAAGTGTATAAAAAATATTATAGAGAGATTAGTACGTGATAGTAGTCGTCCTTCTTCTGGCAGAATACGTATGAAAAAAATATTGATCTAGAAACAGCACTGGTGACAGAATGAGTAGCTTCCATGGGTATTTTGAACAAATATCTCTTTCAGTCCAGAAACTTACCAGTGTGGAACAGAATCCCACTCAGCTGCTAACTGAAAGGTCAACAGTTCGAACCCACCTACCATCCCCAGTAGAACTATATGAGAGTATACTTTGTTAAAGATTACAGTCTTAGAAAGCCCTATGAGACAGTTCTACTCTATTCTATTGGTTCACTATGACTTAGCATCAACTCAATGACAATAGGTTTGGGTTTTGTGTTACTCCACTAAATCTCTACAATGTCCTTCTTATGATCTATCATCAGCCTCATGTCACAAGTATTAGCAACATTTTTTGGAAAATATACCACGCGAACACACAAAAAAGATGCAGTTTGAAAGAGAAAATGGTCCCTTTCCTTCTTCAGTTTTACTCTTTGCCCCATCAAAGTTTAATATCTCCTTTTGGAAGCATGAATATAACTCTAATTGAAATTACATACTTGCATTAAAAAACAAGGATAACCACTGAGTTTTTCAAACTTTTATTTCCTTCAGCTGAATCAATATTAACAAAATTTGTTTCCTTGATTCTCAGACTTCAGAAAATTCAATAATAAGTGATATTCCTTAAAACTATGTAGTTTTGTTTTGTTATTTTACCCAGTGTGATTCAGAAAACAATTGAGTACGTCAAAAACAGAAAGAAAACAAAAACTCGATGAAGCTAATAACTTGGAGCCCAGGAGTTTAATGACAGTGAAGAGCATTGTAGTTGATAAGTGGAAAGGAAAAAAAAAAAGTTTTTTAAAAAGATTAAAAAGAGTGCTTTGGGTTCATATGATCTCCAAAAGCAATGAGTGCAAAAGAGAAATCCACGTTAAATTAAAGAGACCAAGTCCCCACAACATCAAAACTACAAAGACAGGGCTTCTCATTAAAAAGCAAAATCTAAACCCTCAGAATCAATGAGTCAGTGTACGATAAGGGAAGGAGGACTGGCTTTAGACTGGCAAGGAATAATAAAATTGAATTGGGCAGGATAAACGCTGAAATTCTCCCCAGTGTTCAAGTTCAATGGTCTAGGGTAACATGATGTTTAAGTCCACTTCCAATTCTATGATGCTACTTGATTTAGAAACATTGGAGGAGATGCTGTTACATCTCCCCATCAAATATGCTTCCTCCCCACCCCTTTACTAGCCTGTTTCTAGAGACAAGACATAGCCAAATTTATCAGTCAGCACCCA